TTAAAATAATCTATGACAAGATACCTTTTCAAGATGAAATTTGTTTTGGTATGCAAATTAGGTGGTTCGAGGTTACAATAGTTCGAGCATGGGTCATCTCAGATGAAAAACTAGGTCACAGGAGCTAAAAAAAGAAAAACCTTGTTAACACTCTAGTGGTCACAATTTTGACTCAATTGTCATCAAACTTGATCAGGAAACTTGTCTTGGTCTTTGCTGGGAATAAATTGAACATGGGTCATCTCGGATGAAAAAGTAGGTCACCGGAGCTAAAAATAGAAAAATCTTGTTAACACTCTAGTGGCTACTGTTGTGATCCAAATATTCTGTTAATTGGTCTGAAAGTTTGTTTTGATGATTTCTAAGTCAAATTCAAACATGGGTCATCTTGGATGAAAAACTAGGTCACACCGCCCAAATATGGAAAAACCTTGTTAACATTCTAGTGGTCACATTTTCGACTCAATTATCATCAAACTTGGTCAGGATGCTTGTCTAGGTAATTGCTTGGATGAGTTCGAAATCGCATGTGGAACTACCCGTGCAGAAAATGAACAAGAAGTCCTGGGACTATCCCAGGAATTCCTGAGAAGTCTCAGGAATTTGTCCTGGAAAAATCCCAGGATTTCCTGAGATAATCCTGAGATTTTTTTCACGCCGTTAAATGGGACTGGACAATCCCAGGAATTTCTTGAAGACAGGAAAAAACAGTAAAAAAATATTGCTCTGCTATCCCAGGAATATTGTCTTGTTCTCAGGACAGTCTTATAATCCCAGGAAAGTCCTGTTCCCAGGACAATCCCATAATCACAGGAATGTCCTGTTCCCAGGACAATCCATAATCCCATGAATGTCCTGTTCCCAGGACAATCTATAATCCCAGGAATGTCCTGTTCCCAGGACAATCCCACTAATCCCAGGAATGTCCTGTTCCTAGGACAATCTTTAATCCCAGGAATGTCCTGTTCCCAGGACAATCCCACTAATCCCAGGAATGTCCTGTTCCTAGGACAATCTATAATCCCAGGAATGTCCTGTTCACAGGACAATCCCATAATCCCAGGAATGTCCTGTTCCTAGGACAATCTATAATCCCAGGAAAGTCCTGTTCCCAGGACAGTCTCATTATCTAATAAATGTCCTGTCCCCAGGACAGACATTTAGAAATGTAGAAAACAGTAAAAGCTGATATTGTAATAAATGCTGCTTTGAAATACTAATTTAATGTACAAATTTAGTAAGTTTAAAAATATTTATTTTAATATTTCATCATATTTTACAGTTTATATGATTATTACATATAATTGAAGTGGTTAGAACAAAAGACAAACATATTATGAATAAAATCACACACCATTACCAATGTCAGCAAATTAGAACTTAAGATCCAGGAAAGTTTATAGATTTGAGAAAAAATACACTGTAAAAAATGATTGTGATTGCATCTTAAGAAACTTGTTTTGATTCACAAGTTAACAAACTTTCCCTGCATGGCATTTACATCATTTTGCTCTCAGGATAACTGTCATTTTCTCCCAGCTGACTATCTCCCAGACTTGAACAGTTAATTGGCACTCTGACTGACACTCGGACTTCTTCATTATTTCTGGAAAAAAAGACATGTTCAGCAATACTGAGTGACTCTCAAGTACAGTTCTATTCTTTTAAGCAGTGTAACAATTATTTATCATAATGTGTTTGTATAAATAAACCAAAGTCTAGCCCCCTTAGCATGATCAAATTTAACAAAAATGTACATATAATATCACGAGAAGAAAAAGGTTCCTAATACATATGAAGCAGGAGTTGAAGTTGTTCAAGTGATTTTTAAGAAATGACATAATCACCCTGCATTTAACCTGCCTACAATAAGACTTTGACTTCTTTCTTTAAAAAAGAGATGTGTTCTGATTAGTTATTGTCTTTTATTTCAAAAATAAGATTTGTTCATTGTAATGGAGAAGAAAAAGGTTTTGTTGAAATTAAAGTTTTGTAATATCAAATAAGCAGTGATGTCATGAAACTTTACATGCAATATAAACACAAGTGGTGGCATGGCCAAATGCAGGTTAACATACTGACCAGTAATCTAAGGGTTGCTTGCCATATTGGTTTAAACCCTGTCAACAAGCCATTGTTTCCTTGAGAAAGAAACTTTACACTTATAATGCTTAGTACTAGTTGGTTGCAGAATAATTTGTTGCTTAATTGGATGTAAAATGAACCCAAATGCAACTTTCATTAAAATAAGAATTTTAAAAGAAAGATAACAAATGGTTTCAAATATTTTGCAATGAACTATTTTTCTTCAGGGAAAGATTTAGAATAGTCAAATATAGAGATTTAAAAAAAATAAAGCATACCTTTTGGGGCTCAATACTGCACATCATTATTCACCTAGCATCTCAGTCAGACTCAGAACTGGTCCCACTTTTAAGCCTGCAATTTGTGTGAAATCTAATATCAGATTTTTCCATTTAAAACAACACATAAAATGATAAATGATTATGTTGTCTCACCCAGTCTTATTCAGCTGCACAAAACTTACTGACAGGTGTGTATAGAACAGGTACCATTCAGTCCTCATAATTTAAATTTGTTTCACATTATTTTAACTTGCAGAAATGAAAAAGACAATCTATCTATTGATATGCTATTTTGTATATTATATATGGTAGAAATTAATTTGACAATCAAATCTAGATTTAAATCAATTATTAATAAATCAAATGTATGAAGTGGTTACAAATTTTAGTTTGCTACCTTGATTGTTTGATATACATGTATAATCTGTTTCTGTATAAATGTAACTAAAGGTTTAATTACCTGATTCTGTTGTATATCTCCTTGTCCCAGGTGATTCTGATTCTTGTCATTCTTATTAACCATAACTATACTTATTAAACTTAAACACCTTAACATCTTAAACAAAACTATATCTCCAAAATTGCTTAAACATGAAGTACATCCTCTGTAATTTACACTATTTCCAAGCTTCTAGCTGACCATTCAAACTGGACAGGTACATCATTAGGTAAAACAGGGTTAATCCAAAAATTAAAGCAGTTATCATTTTATATAACATTCATTGAATGTAAAAAACCACATCAAATAGCTAATAGATAAGTAGATTTAAAAAATCCTGAATTAAATAAAGAAGAAAAAATGCAATGTCCTAGACATATTCTGCATAGCATTCAAATTTGTAATGTTACCTCTCCCCAAAATAATCACATGGAACAGTCTGATTTGTAGGAATGACCAGGGAGTAAATTAGTCATGCACATATGGTGGGAGAACAAAGGTGGCCAGTTTTATCAGATCTTTGATCTGTGTGGTGTAATATCTAAGTACTTCTTTATCCTAAATGTATGCAATTATCAGGCATATTGGTTCCTTGATTTGAAATAGATAAAAAGGACAGTTTCATGAGCTGTTTTATTTCTGTTAAATATCTAAAATACAGGCCTAAATGTCTAAAAAAAAGTACACCTGTCTCTCTTGGTAAAATTTCAAACTTGAGTAAAAAAGTACTGTAAGAAGTACAATAGGTTGAAAACATATACATTTCAATGTTTGTAAGTGCAAAAAAAAAACAAGAATAATGCTTTGGGTAACTTTTATGTGAATTGTTTTTGTTTTGAAATGGAATGACATAGAATTTCATTTGTGTCCATGGTCCACACAGAAATCACTGATTCCATGCCAATTCTGTCCCTTAGTAATAATTCCGCTCAGAATCTGTGCCAAAATTATCTGCAGGTTATATACATGTATATTTGATTTTCTCTATTACAATATCTTATTAAATATAAAATAAAATTTCCTTGCTATGTTCAAAAATCAATTAGCAACTTTTTCTCTTTTTTTGAAAAAAATCTTAATTGTTTTTGATTTAAAGGTCTAAGATTATAGAATTTTAAATTCTGAGTATTTTGATACGCATTGTGTTTAAAGAAAACTATTACAAACCGACTTCAATATATTTTATCAATTTTTCTCATGTTTTTATACTTAGCATTTTGTTCAGCTTTGCTTAGTAATAAAAAGTCTCACAAAAGTTATTTCATTTATTCCTCTGTCCAAAGAACAGGAATTAACAAGACTTCTTACTTTTCACTTTACAGAAAGGCTTTCTAAGAAAATATCTTTCTTGTCTTTGACTAAAGGACTTCACTACAAATGAAGTCCTGATAATTCCTGTCCTCAGGACATATTTGAAAATAAAAGTCCTGAGAATTCCTGTTTTTTCCTGTTGGTAAGATTAAAGTCCTGACAATTCCTGTTTTGTCCTGTTCAGTATCTTCAAAAGTCTTGAGATATCCTGTAAACAGGACTTTTGTTAAGAGGTAGGAAACAAATCCTGGGATAATCCTGGGATTTCCTGGGACTTCCTGAGAACAGGAAATATTTTCTGCACGGGTAGGTCACCGGAGCTAAAAATAGAAAAATCTTGTTAACACTCTAGTTGCTACTGTTTTGATCCAAGTATCCTGGAAATGGTCTGAAAGTTTGTTTTGATGATTTCTAGGTCAAGTTTGAATATGTGTCACCTGGGTAAAAAACTAGGTCGCACTGCTCAAATATGGATAATCCTTGTTAGTTGTTAACACTGTAGTGGTCACATTTTTGAATCACCTGTCATGAGACTTGGTCAGAATGCTTGTCTAGGTAATTGTTTGGATGAGTTTGATAAGTCAGGTGAGCGATCTAGGGCCATCATGGCCCTCTTTTTTTAATATATGGATCTAAAATATTGATGTGTCGCATGTTAAATTTGTTGGGACGCCGGGAGTAGCTCCACTTACCTACCAGAGAACGATTTGTAAACAACCTTGCTTAACAGTAACTCTTACAGGCATAAAATAAAACATTTTTCAGCAGTTAGTTGCAAAATAAAATGATATTCATTGCAGCAAATTTCGGGCTGCCATATAGGGGAAAAGTAAGGCTTTGAGGGGGGGGGGGGAAAACTTTTGAGGGGGCAATGGGGCCAAATTTCGCCGAATATTTTGGTGAAAAAAACACTGACTGCAAAATTTAAGTAATGCATTTTCCCCCAATTTTTAACAAAATATTGCTATTGTTCCCAATTCCATGGGTATGGGTCATGTTTCCAAAATCCTGGAAAAAAACCCTGAAGTTTCCTCTTTTCTCAGCACCATGACAACCGTTTCCTGCGATCAACCTCCCGGATAGTCAGTTTCTTCCTTGCTACTCGTCGCCTAAATCCATGCTTATGTAAATAAAATTGTAATGTCCTTTTAGCTAGTGGCCTGTCTCTGTTTTCTTTAAATTTAGTTGTTATATCTTGTAAACTGTCTCTCCTATTCCTTTTAACTAACCTTTCTAACCTCCTATACTCCCTTGCTGTCACAGTTGGTTTTCTACCACTTCGTGGAATATTTTCTATAGAATCTCTCTGCTCAATTCTCTTCTTTAAACTTCCAACGGTCGATTTAGGCACATTTAAAGTATTTGATACAAAATCAATTGTTTTACCTTCTTCAAATGATTTTTGAGCATTTTTTTTACCTCTGGCATTAATTCTTTCCTGTCCGCTCGATGTTTAATTTTCGTTCTTTAGATTTACTTAAAAGCGAAATGGGAAGTACGATTTCTGTTTGCATGAGAAAATCCGCCTTCGGATCATCCGTACATCAATATTAAATCAACAAAAATGACTATAAGTGGCAGTCCTAGTTTAACGGTATATTTCCGCATTGTAACCGATGTTTTAAATCAAATTTAATCTTTTTACGAGATGATTACTTTTACTGAACCCCAGGTTTAGTGCACCGTAAAGCAAAAACGGTTAAAGTGTGTTTGCACAAGAAAATATCACATTTGCTGTGTTCCGGATACCAACTATAAAACTGTGACGTAGCGCATACACGAGCTAATTATAGTCTTCATTTGCATGTTAAAATTCGTATACAAACTTTAGTGTTACCGTGGGGTTTCCCGTTTAAAATCCTAATTTATGAACAATATTTGATGAGATTTACAAGTTACAACAATACTATTAAACAGGTTAAAGAAACTGTAGAATGTTTGATTTTTAGGCCGACGGCAAAATATTTTTACATATTTATTTAATGTAGCTTTAAAGTACAATAGCTACATTGATAAACAGCTGTAATGTTGTTATAATGAAAGCGATGTACAGTCCAATACTGTTAAAGTAGCACAACATAACCGTTATATAATTTAAAATCCAGACGTCTGGACCGGGGAAAAAACAAAAAACAAAACCGGGAAATTTTCTGCTACCTTTGAGTAATACACTTGTTCTGGTTTATAGATTTTAAGGTCAATCATGAATTGCATGAATTGCTGAATTATTTATGTGACATTCATAAATGGAAAATCAAATACATGTAGGTTTATACCGTAGCATAAAAAAGCTGTAATTCAGGCTGTAGCGACTTAATATTCGCGGAATTCGCGGTTACTACAAATCCGTGAAAGTTTTTCTCCGCGAAAATGCCGACGTTGTGAAAAACGGGAAGTATTGTATCCGCGAACATTTCTAGGAATACAGTATATGGTGGCGGGCCAAATAAGGCTTACATTCCCGGTAGAAAGTACAACCAGGATATAATTTATTTAAATTTAGTCCAAACAGTATTTCCTTGTTATCTTTAACAAAGAAATGCAAATTAAAAATCATATCTATAACTAAGTATAAGACAAGGAAGGAAACTATATATAATGTAAATAATTGACTGATTTGGCTTTTATGCAGGCTTGTTCTGGCTTTTACAGGCTTCATGATGACCAAAACGAAACTGTATACACATATGACAAAGAAAAGAATTCAAATTGAATATCAAACAATTTAATACTTTAATGATTTAAAATTAATTGAGTTAATAATGTTAATTTCCATTACACCCAAAATATAGGCCTCTTTGTAACAAGCATGGAATGCTGTGTCTATTTTTAGTGACATCTTTGTGTTTTCCAATATCTAAATCCTGCCATTCAACAGTTCTAGCTGATTATTTAAAGATTAATTTCAATGCAGTCAGCTTCAAAATGTTTTTTGAAACACAATGTCCGGTAAATTGAGTTGTCGACTGGATGTTTATAATGACCTACTTTGAAGACACATTTTTATGGTCAAAATGTTAAATTTTGTGTTTGATAAAATCACGTTTACATTTTCAAGCTGAACTTATAAGTAACATATAAGTGACTTATTTAGTCACAGGTAAGTCACATATAAGTCTAAATCCTTTGATTTATAAGTAAAAAGTCACATTGTGTTGCTTGATGTAAAAAAGCTAGTTGAGTTACTTAATTTCACATATGTTTTTCATTTGTAAATTGAGTCATTGAACAAAATATGAAATTCAGTATATAAAAAAATATTGGTCTGGACCAATTCTATTTTGATTCTATAAATTAATGATCTTTGAACAGTTGAAACAAAGTGAAAGTATAAACTGTTATGTTTAGGAAATAGATTTTTAGCTCAACTATTCAAAGAATATGGAAAGCTATTGCAGTCGCCCCGGTATAGGCGTCCACGTCGGCGTTGGTTAAAAGTTTTTTGTAAAGTCAAATATCTCAATTATTGCTTGAGATATTCAATTGAAATTTACAATACTTTTTTTATAGTAACAATGTACATCAGTTTGCAAAGTTGCATAACTGCCTGCAATATTTGAAGAATTATCGCCCCTTTGAAACGAACAAATTTTGGTTAAAGGTCTTAAGAACTATCAAAGATATTTACTTGAAACTTTACACATGTACTAAGGGTCATAATTGAAGGTCACATCTCAAGATCCATTACTCTGCCATGTATTTTGGCTGAATTATGCTCCCTTTTGGACTAAAAAAAAATCTCCTTTTCTTGGTTAAGTTTTAAATGCAAGTTTTGCATATCTCTGAAACTATTAAAGATACAAACTTGAAACTTCATATGTATATTTGTGGTCATAAATAATGATCACTGAACAGCACTTACATGTATCTGTGTCATGTATTTAGGCTGATTTATCTCCCCCCTTCTTACTTAGTCTCTTGTTTAATGTTTACATGTAAGTTTTACATATCTCAATAACTATCAGAGATTTTGATGTAAACTTCACATATGCATGAAGGGTCATAATTGTATGTCACTGACCAAGGTCCATAACTCTATCTTGCATTTAGGCTGATTTATCTCCCCTTTTTATATGCCCGAAAGAATTTTGGGCATATTATGTTATACCCACTGGCGTCTGTCTGGATGTCCATCTGTCCGCACTCACAGGACAGTAATTATGGCTAGAGGGACAATAGGTAACTGTTCTTTCTCTTTGATGTCATTCATTCCGTAATGCTTTTATGTGGCTATTTTCTGTTGTGTGGCTAAAAAGAACAATAGAGAGAACAATAGAGTAGCCACATAATGGCAGTCCTGTGAGAACTTCTGTCCGTCTGTCCGTACGAACCCAGAGGTACTTGTGTAACTTGGAGACCAATGGGTAACAGTAAATTCTTTTTGATCCTATTCATTCCATTTTTACTTGTGTGTCTTTTTTTATATGCCCGAAAGAATTTCGGTCATATTATGTTATACCCCCTGGCATCCCTCCGTCTTTCCTGTCCGAGCAAACATTTTGGGTTTAGGGGCTATATAACAGTAAAGAGAACAAGAACAATAGTTTCATTCCATGATCAAAGGGTTTATTGGCTAGTAGCCCTTAAGAAAACAAAGAAAACAACAAAGAAAATAGCCCCTAAACCCAAAATGTTGGAACGTCCGTCCGTTAGCAATTTGGTTTCCGGAGCATAACTTAGGTTCCATTTGGCCAACATTATTCAAACTTCATGGATGATTGTCCATATTGGGTAGAAGACCCCTATGATTTTGGGGTCACAAGGCCAAAGGTCAAGGGCACTATTACCTTAAAACTGAAAATGGTTTCCGGAGCATAACCTATGTTTCTTTTGGCCCACAGTATTCAAACTTCATAGGATGATTGTTTATATTGGGTAGAAGACCCCTATTGATTTTGGGGTCACAAGGTCAAAGATCAAGGTCACTATTGCCCTAAACTGAAAATGGTTTCCGGAGCATAACTTAAGTTCTTTTTGGCCCACATTATTCAAACTACATAGGATGATTGTCCATATTGGGTAGAAGACCCCTATTGATTTTGGGGTCACAAGGTCAAAGGTCAAGGTCACTATTACCCTAACACTGAAAATGGTTTCCAGAGCATAACTTAAGTTCTATTTGGCCAATAGTATTCAAACTTCATAGGATAATTGTCCATATTGGGTAGAAGACCCCTATTGATTATGAAGTCACAAGGTCAAAGGTCAAGGTCACTATTACCTTAAAACTGAAAATGGTTTCCGGAGCATAAATTAAGTTCCATTTGGCCCACAGTATTCAAACTTCATAGGATGATTGTCCGTATTCGGTAAAAGACCCCTATTGATTTTGGGGTCACAAGGTCAAAGGTCAAGGTCACTTTTACCTTAAAACTGAAAACAGTTTTGCTCAATAACTTAAGTATTAATCAACCTACAGCTGTAAAATTTTATAGGATGAACAGCCATGTCAAATACATGACCCCTATTGATTTTAGGGTCATAAGGTCAAAGGTCAGGGTCACAATGATCTTTATACTGAAAGTTGTGGTTTGATGGTGATACTTTGAAAGCAGCAACTATATATATATGAATGTTCTTCAGCTATAAAGGAGGATTGCTTTTTGAAGGAGGTAATACTGTATTTCATTCCCATGTCTTACAAATTTAAAAAAAAACACTTTCGGGCATATAATGCTCCGCCTAGCGGTGCTCTTGTTAAGCCTTGTGTGACTAAAAATGGCCAAAAAGATCAAAGGAAAAGTCACATAAGTACCATTTGTGAGTACGTCCAACCGTTAGCAATTTGGTTTCCGGAGCATAACTTAAGTTCCATTCGGCCCATTATATTCAAACTTAATAGAATGAGTGCCCATATTATGTAAAAGACCCTTATTGATTTATGGGTCACAAGGTCAAAAGGTCAAGGTCACTATTACCTTAAATATGAAACGCTAAATTACTTAAGTACTAGTAAACAGCTGTAAAATTTTATAGGCGGAACAGCCATGTCCAACACATGACCCCTATTGATTTTAGGGTCATAAGGTCAAAGGTCAGGGTCACAATGATCTTTATACTGAAAGTTGTGGTTTGATGGTGATACTTTGAAAGCAGCAACTATATATATATGAATGTTCTTCAGCTATAAAGGAGGATTGCTTTTTGAAGGAGGTAATACTGTATTTCATTCCCATGTCTTACAAATTTAAAAAAAAACACTTTCGGGCATATAATGCTCCGCCTAGCTGTGCTCTTGTTAAGCCTTGTGTGACTAAAAATGGCCAAAAAGATCAAAGGAAAAGTCACATAAGTACCATTTTGTGAGTACGTCCAACCGTTAGCAATTTGGTTTCCGGAGCATAACTTAAGTTCCATTCGGCCCACAATATTCAAACTTAATAGGATGATTGTCCATATTGGGTAGAAGACCCCTATTGATTTTGGGGTCACAAGGTCAAAGGTCAAGGTCACTATTACCTTAAAACTGAAAACAGTTTTGCTCAATAACTTAAGTATTCATCAACCTACAGCTGTAAAATTTTATAGGATGAACAGCCATGTCAAATACATGACCCCTATTGATTTTAGGGTCATAAGGTCAAAGGTCAGGGTCACAATGATCTTTATACTGAAAGTTGTGGTTTCTTGATGGTGATACTTTGAAAGCAGCAACTATATATATATGAAGGTTCTTCAGCAATAAAGGAGAATTGCTTTTTGAAGGAGGTAATACTGTATTTCATTCCCATGTCTTACAAATGAAAAAAAAACACTTTCGGGCATATAATGCTCCGCCTAGCGGTGCTCTTGTTAAGCCTTGTGTGACTAAAAATGGCCAAAAAGATCAAAGGAAAAGTCACATAAGTACCATTTTGTGAGTACGTCAGTCCGTTAGCAATTTGGTTTCCGGAGCATAACTTAAGTTCCATTTGGCCCACAATATTCAAACTTCATAGGATGATTGTCCATATTGGGTAGAAGACCCTTATTGATTTTGGGGTCACAAGGTCAAAGGTCGAGTTCACTTTTACCTTAAAACTGAAAACAGTTTCTTGAGCTTAACTTAAGTTCCATGTTTTCAGGCATATGCCTGAAGTTCAGGTTTTTAGTGACAAATTTCATCATGTTTAGATTTACCCTTGTCCGTCCGTTCTCTTTTTGTGTCGCACGTAGCTCAAAAAGTAATTGACCTAGAGTCATGAAACCTTACAGGAATGTTGATCAGCATGTGAAGTTGTGCACCTGGGTATTTTCGTGTGGATATTTTTAGTATTTTTAGAGTTATTGCCCTTGACTTAGTAAAAATTTCCAATTTTCAACTTGTGTCGCACGTAACTAAAAAAGTATTTGACCTAGAGTCATGAAACCTTACAAGAATGTTGCTCAGCATGTGTAGTTGTGCACCTGGGTATTTTCGTGTGGATATTTTTAGAGTTATTGCCCTTGACTTAGTAAAAATTTGCAATTTTCAACTTGTGTCGCAGGTAACTCAAAAAATATTTGACCTAGAGTCATGAAACCTTACAGGAATGTTGATCAGCATGTGTAGTTGTGCACCTGGGTATTTTTGTGTGGATATATTTAGTATTTTTAGAGTTATTGCCCTTGAATTAGTAAAAAATTTCCAATTTTCAACTTGTGTTGCACGTAACTAAAAAAGTACATGAAACCATTACAGGAATGTTGCTCAGCATGTGTAGTTGTGCACCTGGGTATTTTCATGTGGATATTTTTAGTATTTTTAGAGTTTTTGCCCTTGACTTAGTAAAAATTTACAATATTCAAATTGTGTTGCACATTACTCAAAAAGTATTTGACCTGTAGGCCTGAAAGTTTAGAAGAATGTTGGTCAGCATGTGTACTTATGTACCTTGGGGAATCTTGTGGATTTATTCAGTATTTGTAGTATTTGCCCTTTACTTAATAAAAGATTTTTAGTTTTCAACTTGGGCACATGTAGCCCAAAAAAAAATTTTGACCTAGAGACAAATCGGTGGACACATTTCTACTTTACTATTAGAATAAGATTATGTAGAAAAATGATCATGAATTACAGTTTTCAGGTTTTTCCAAATTTTTTACTAGCACCCATGGACCAATAGGAATTAATGATAAATT